GTTTTGCTAAGAGAGATTTAGAAGGATTTTTGAAAAATCAATTTTTGATTTTCCGAATATCCGAACATCCGAACTTTTAGATTTCTGAGTTACACATTTTCTGAGCTTCGGAATTTTCGAATTTCGGAATTTCTGAATTTCTGAATTTCCGAATTTCTGAATGTCTGAATCTCTGAATTTCTGAATTTCTGAATCTCTGAATTTCTGAATTTCTGAATTTCTGAATTTCTGAATTTCTGAATTTCTGAATTCCTGAATTTCTGAATTTCTGAATTTCAGAATTTTTAGGATTTCTGAATTTCTGAATTTCTGAATTTCCGAATTTCTGAATTTCTGAATTTCCGAATTTCTGAATTTCTGAATTTCTAAATTCCTGAATTTTTGAATTTCCGAATTTCTGAATTTCTGAATTTCTGGATTTCTGAATTTCTGAATTTCTGAATTTCTGAATTTCTGAATTTCTGAATTTCTGAATTTCTGAATTTCTGAATTTCTGAATTTCTGAATTTCTGAATTTCTGAATTTCTGAATTTCTGAATTTCTGAATTTCTGAATTTCTGAATTTCTGAATTTCTGAATTTCTAAATTCCTGAATTTCCGAATTTCTGAATTTCTGAATTAGCTAGAAATTCCGATTTTTAAAAATTTCAGAAGTTCAGAAGTTCAGAAATCCAGAAATTCTATTGCCCCCGAAAGATGGAAAAATCGATTTTTTAAAAATAAATCTTTGAATTCAAAAACTTCCAAATCATGTCGATTTTTGTAGATTATTTTTAGACATTTTTATTCGGAAAAATACTCGATTTCTTCGAATTTATAAAACTAAAAACCGCGAAAACTACCGCTGGCGAATCTAGAAGAAAGCAGCAGATGTTTTATATATTTTTTGTAATGAAAACAACAAAAATTTAATTGAGAAAATGCGGGTGAGAAAAAGTGGTGGTGAGTAGCTGAGGCGCGAAGTGAGGAAAAAATGTTTTATGACGAGATTCTCAAATCGCCAGGATTACACAACTTCCTGATTATCGATATTAGGGATATTCTGAGATAGAGCAAATAAATTGAAGATATAAATTTTCTGTTTTTTTTAGAATTAGGTCATTGGCTGAAAAAAACACTGGGTATATATCTAGGACTTAGGCAGATTGGATTTTTATGGGGTTAGAGGTAGGAGAAGAGAGTTTGGTATATGAGAAATTTTAAATTTGAATTCCCGCCAATTAGACTATCTACAGTATAAAAAGCTTAAAAATGGAACTGAAAGATTTTTGTTCAGCGAAGCGCACTTGCAAAATTGCACTGAAAAATTCAAGTTTTCTGAATTTCTGAATTTCTGAATTTCTGGATTTCTGAATTTAAGATTTTCAGATTTTCAGATTTTCAGATTTTCAGATTTTCAGATTTTCAGATTTCTGAATTTCTGAATTTCTGAATTTCTGAATTTCTCAAATTCTCAATTTCTCAATTTCTCAACTTTTATAAAAATTTACCAAGAAGCGTTGGAAAAGTGGGCGGACTCAAGGGGCGGAGCCTAAAACAGTATGCAATTTAGGCTCTGCCAATTTTTTCAATAAAAAAACCCCATTTTATAGGAATCAACATTTTCAAAAAATTTAAATAGCGCCCCACGGAACCAAAAATCTTGCAAATTCGAATTTCAAAATGCCTACAGTACCCAAATACTCGGGACTTTAAAAAATCGAACAGTTAAAAAACAGAAATACACCAGAAAAAATGGCTCAGTAGAAAAAAATAGTAAGAGAGAAAGAGAGCAGACTGACAGAGAGATAGAAAAGACATACACAAATAGAGCAATTAGTTGAGCACGGCTTGCTTGGCTGAACTCGATCCGGAGAGGGGCGGGGACAAAAAAAAAGAGGAGGTGTCTGCGTCTCTTCGTCTCATACACTCTCTCTGGTTCTTGCTAACCCAAAGAAGCTTCTTTTTTCTCTCTATCAACGGATCCATTCACGCAGAATAAGAGAGGAGAAGGCTTCTGTGTTGGCCAGGACCTCTCACTCTCTCTCTCTATTCATTCAGAATATATTTTCAGATATACTCAAGAAAAAAACACAGAAAGAATGAGATAGAGAGGAATACAATGAGGTTGGCTGACTTCTGGAACTCAACTTTTTTTTGAGTTCTTGAAATTTTTTTTTCGAAAGCAATTTTCCTTTTTTTTTTGGAAGTGGAGGTGAGAGGTAGGTCGTCTAAAATGTCAGAAAACTGAGAAAGTTTTCCAATTTCCCGGCAAAAAACTGTTTCATTTTTGATCCAGCTACCAAAAGCGTAATACTGTGAAACCCAGTAAGAGAAGATCTCCAGCTTTGAGCTCAATTATCTCGGTTCCTGTGAAAGATCACAGGGTAACGGCTGCGCATGGTATATGTGTTGGCGCGGCGCCTCATATGGACGACATAGGTACACCGTTTGCGCGCCATCGAGATCGGGCATGACGCGCCCATATTTCATCTACAATTTCAGGTCGTATTGGCGATGGATGTATCTTATATGGATTTATTCATCTAACTATAGTTGTAATAAGATGTGATTTTGTTCAGATCTTTCAATATCGTTCATTTTCCCTTTCAGATTTCACAGAGTGACCATTTTTCCAGTTTTCACAGAATTTTCTCACAGCAAGAAAAATTATGGCAGGAAGTTAAAAATATCTGGATGATATAACATAATAAATTTTTCCTTCAAAACTGCGATATAGAAAACTTGAAAAAAATTCAACAAAGTCTTGAAATTGGCATTAATTCGCATAATTTTGTTTCGGAAATAATTTTGTGTTTCTCGGATTTTTTCCTACTTTTACTTCGTAATAATCGGAAAACTTACCAACCAACCTGTATTTCACCTGAAAAATATATTATTCCGCTTATTCCGAAGTAAAACAGAAAAGTCCTAATTTCAAGAAAAACCGGATTTTGTAAAAAATTTTACCTATTTCTTTACTAAAAATAAGTTTTATTTTCGTTAGCCATAATTTTTACATGTGAAAACAGTGAGAAGTTCTTTGAAAGCAGGAAATATGATCAATATGATCGAAAAATTGATCAAGATCGGCGGTGAAAAATTTTGCTAAACAACGCGCACTAGCGTAATAGCGGAGTGTCGTTGGTGGGTTGTCGTTTTCATGGGAAAAGCGTGCATGCTATATGGATGCTATATGGGTGCGCCCACCAGCGACCAGTCGTGCCCAGCGACGACGCATATAGCGCGCACGCGCTACCCACGGAATTATTATGGGTGCACATAGCATCCTATATGCGCGCCTAGACATTTACCATGCGCAGCCGTTACCCTGTGATATCGAAAAATGGTCAACTGATAAAATGCTTATCATAATATTGAAAATATTTTATCAGTTTACCAGCAAGCTGGTGCGCCTTCGGCGCGAATTAATCTAGTTTTTTTACGCGTGTAGAGTTTTATATATAAGGAAGATTACTTTTTTATATGCCTTACGGGAAACTAGATAAACTAGCTCAATCAAAGTTCTCTCTATGGACAACTTTAGCTTGAGGTGCTGCCCTACAAAGCGTCTATATTGACTTGATTTATCTTGTTTTCTGTGAACGATATCAACATTTTGTACACTAATAAAAAATTTATCATAAAATTATCCATATTTCATTGATTAACTACTTTCTGATACCTTTTGCAGGAACCGAGATAATTACGGTCAAACTTGAGAGTATGGCGGTCAACCTGTCTCAGAAATGTCCCCCTACTTTGATCTAATTCATCTTGGTTGCTGTAATAGTTATCAAAAAGTGGTCAACTAACAAAATGTTTGTCATATAATCACTAACATTTTCTTAACTGATTATTTTCTAATATCTGTTACAGTAACTGAGATAAATACGATCGAAGATAACACTAGAAATTTTGCATCAAACTTATTTCGGTGGCCTAGAAAAATGAAAAACTTGGCCAGGAAATGCTCAAAAATTTAGCTAATTGGCTATTTATCAAAAATTGTCTCCTCAAAATTTTCAAAACTACAACGCGTCGCGGTCGCGCTGCCTACAAAACCATAGTGCTCCAAAATGCGCTCTTTTTTAAAACCGCAACATGTTTCAAACACACTAATTGTGAATTTTTTTAAAGAAACACCAAGCTAATTATACAAGAAGCCGAAAAAAGAAAATAAGTAGAACATTTTGGGGGGAAACTAGAAAATTGGCAAGAAGAAGAAAAAGAAGAAGGTGAATTTCAAATAAGAGAAGAAGAGAACGTTGTTGGCAACAGCAAAATTTGGTTAAGGCGGGACTAGTGGAATGGGATTTCCCAAATTTCCCAAAGGTAGATGACGTTGAAGAAGATTCCAAAAAACAGTAAATGCGCTCCATTGGACTTCAAAAGCAACGGGAATTAATTTTGTTTGTTGCCATTTTGAAAAAAGGGCTCTTACTCAATTATCTGCCTGCTTCTCCTTTTTTCCCTTCTTTATATACAACAGTCCCTATATGGACCCCCGGCGAATCATCCAAAGACTAAAAATTGTGAAGTAAAAAAGTTTTTCCATTTTTTTTGCTTCAGAAAAAATGGTGAGGAAAGAACCAATTAGCTCTCTCTCCACAGAAGAAGACGTGTCATTGCACACGTCTTCTGGAGACGATGATGATGATGATGATCTTTAGAAGACGTGAGGAAAAACTTGTCGTCGCTCCAGAAGACGTGATGGAAAAGGAGAGAGAAAAATGGGACGACAAGTTCTATTATGAATATGGATATTTCGATGGGATGTGTTTGAGCAGGAGAAGAAGAAGAAGAAGAGCACAGCTACACACGTATAAAAGGAAATTGGAGAAGTGTCAGAGGAATTGAGAGTGAGTTTGTGTGCAAAGAGCAAAGGTACTACAAAGATTAGAATTCCAGAAAAAAAATCTAAAACATCGAATAATAATCGTTCAATGGCAGGCTGTTCGCTGGACATTTTACTCTCTTAACTTTGACCCAATTTATCTCGGCTCCAGTATGAGATATCAAAAAAATGTCTGACTAATAAAATATTGCTGACATCATGATAAAAATTCTATCAATTGACTATTTTTTAGTATCTCTCACAGAAACCGAGAATTTTTAATTTTGGGAATTTGTGAAGTAGAATCTCAGAAAGTCGGAAACACGGAAACTCGAAAATCCGAAATTTCAGAAATTATGAGTTTTGAAATGAAGTATTTTAATATAAAAATCGTTGAGTTCTAGAATCGCAGTTCCGAAAATTCAGGACTCCTGAATTTTGAAACTTCTGACAAAATTATAAGTTGTCAAATTTCAAGATATTCGGGAATTCAGGAAAATTATTAGTTCTACAAATTTGGAAATTTTTAACAGTTCTTGTATCAACTAAGACAAATTTCTGATCTACATTTCTGATTTATCTGTCCAAGCCCAAACTCAATCGGTTAGGCTGTTGTAAGCGGGAGCCAGAAGGTTTAGCCCCGAAGGCGCATAAGCAGACTGTCACTCCAGTTTATGAAAGTTGACAACACAATCCAACTAAAACTTCCTCTTCTGATTCTCTCCGATTTGGAGATTCAAACGTTTTTAGTGAAACCAGGAGATTGTAGCCGCCGACAGGCGGCGGAAATCGATTGGTTCTTTCAAAAATTGATAAAAATCAAAGCGTCAAGAATAGTTAAATAATGAAAAAAAAAAGATTTTAAGATATCTAAATGGGGATCAAGACATTTATTCAGGCAGGGTTGAATCGATGAACAAACCTGACAACTTAAAAGGCGCATAACTAAGCCGAAACTTGGAATTTCTATAAAAGATAAATATCAAAATGTAGAACTTTACAAGAGCTTCAATATGGTATGTAATTCAACTATTTTTACATTTCGAGTTTAGGACCAGAAGCCGCCAAAATGCTGAGTGGGTGAAGTCGACCCAATTGGCCCCAACCTGTTTCACGACCTCTGGCTCGAAATTCAGAATTCGAATATATTGGTATTTGATATCACTTTGTGGATCTTGCTGTGTTCTACATTTTACTTTTTAAGTCAAACAGAAATTCTAAGTTTGAACAGAGTTATGCGCTGAAATGGATAAAGACGGAAATCTCCAATTTTACAAAGACAAAGTTCAATTTAAGAAGTCCAAATCGGGGAAAAGTAGAACCAAATCGAACCAAACTAATACAATTTAAAGAGACAGACTCTCTGCGCACTTGGTGCCGTCCGCCTTCTGGGAAGTCTCCGTTTCCCGAAAAAGTCACACACCGGAAGAACAAAAAGAAGTGGGGAAGAACCCAAAACACTTGACACACACCCAGAAGACTCTCTTCTTTCCCAAGAAGCAGAATCGCAAATCAGTTTGGAATCCTCACGATATCGAGAACCCCATTGACGTCATTTTGGAATTTCAGCAAAAACCATTTTCCATTTTTTTTGGAAACTTTTTTTTTTGGGAAAGACAACCTTATAACCCCAAAAATTGGAAAAAATCGCGTACCGCTCTCATCTCTGATCGTCGTCACGTCTTCTGGAATTCAGTCTTCTTGGGTCTGACGTCTTCGGCAGGTAGCAGCAATTTCTCGTTTAGTTACGCCCTCCGCCCGTCTCGTGCATCTGGAAAAAATAGATTATTGTAGGAATATATAACTGAAGGCGAGAAGAAAAAATAAGGGAAAATAGCACATTGAACTTTGATTTCAACTATCTCGATTTCTAGAAAAGATATCAAAAAGTGCTCAACTGATAAAATATTGGTTATTTTATGGCAATCATTTTATCAGTTGACATATTTTTGATATCTTTTGAAGGAACCGAGATAATTAAGCTCAAAAAGAAAGTACGGTAGTGATAAAATAGATAGTCTTTGACCGTTATCTTTGTTCCAATTCCTCTCGGTTACTGTGAAAGATATCGAAAAATGGTCAAATAATAAAATATTACAGACATTATGATAAAAATTTTTATCAGTAGATCACTTTTTGATATCGCTGACAGGAACCGAGATAAAATGTGTCCAATTAGGCGTTATGGGAGCTTTAAATTTGCAATTCGAATATTTTCATTATTAAAATTGTTAGAAAGTCCGTTTCAACCAAATTTTTTAAATTTTTAATAGTTAGAAGACCTTCTTAAAATCAGAAAATCTGAGGAAAAAAAGAGGAACCGATTTTTTTTCAATTTTTAAAGCAACTGATTTTTTTGGTGATTATTTTCAGATTTTCAGAAAGAACTTGAAAAAAAACTCGAAAATTTGAAAATCTCAAATTTTGCTCCAAAACGGGTACTTAAATTCAGAAAAGCTAGTCCACGGCGGCCGACCGCGGCCGGCCGTCATTTTGCACAGCGTGGCTTGGAACACTTTTCTCCGCTAATTTTCGAAATGTTTATTATTTTTAAACTCTTGTCTTCCCCATAACATTGGCTGTCTGTCTTAAAAGTATCGGAACCAATGGGCGAAATTTTGAAAGCATGAGGATGAAAAATATAAACAAATCATAACAGAAAACAGAAAAAGAAAAATTTTCCAGAGCAGGGGAAAGAAAGAAAAATACAGGAAAATCTAAAGAAAACGAAGGAAATGAGACTAATTAGTTGAATTTTGAAAAGCAGGAAATTTATGGAAAACTGGGAAGAATTGCAGAAAAATTCAGATTTTTGAAATTATTTTTTTTTTAATTTGCAAAAATGAGGAAGGGGGAGGGATGATTTTCGTAATTAATTTTTTTTCCAAATTTCAAGCTCTAGAAATTTCAATTTTCAAACGAAAAAAATTTCAAAGTTTTGGGGTTGTTTCAACTTTACTTTTTTCAATTTTTCGAATATCGGAATTACATTTCAAAAGATCGATAAAAATGGTTTTTAAGTAGATGAAAAAGTTTGAGAATTAGAAGAAAACGGACTAAAAATGTATAAAAATGTACAATGTAGGAATAAAAAAAATGAGAAAAGAATGCGAATGAGGAGGAAAAAAACAGAATAAGGAAAAGAACAAGAGGAAGAGTTGGTTTTTATTATGTTGGAAAAAAGGAGGAAACAAAATTTATTTGTGCACTTTTTTTTCAAATAATAAATGTGTACATTTTACATACTAGTATTCAGTTTTTTTTAAAAGAAAACATTTAAAAAAAAAATTTTTTTTTCGGAAATTTTCAGAAATTCAGAAAATCAGAAATTCAGAAATTCAGAAATTCAGAAATTCAGAAATTCAGAAATTCAGAAATTCAGAAATTCAGAAATTCAGAAAATCAGAAATTCAGAAATTCAGAAATTCAGAAATTCAGAAATTCAGAAATTCAGAAATTCAGAAATTCAGAAATTCAGAAATTCAGAAATTCAGAAATTCAGAAATTCAGAAATTCAGAAATTCAGAAATTCAGAAATTCAGAAATTCAGAGATTCAGAAATTCAGAAATTCAGAAATTCGAGAAATTCAGGAATTCAGAAATTCAGAAATTCAGAAATTCAGAAATTCAGAAATTCAGAAAATCAGAAATTCAGAAATTCAGAAATTCAGAAATTCAGAAATTCAGAAATTCAGAAATTCAGAAATTCAGAAATTCAGAAAATCAGAAATTCAGAAATTCAGAAATTCAGAAATTCAGAAATTCAG